ACACATATATATATATACATTTTTTTATATGTATGTATGATATTTTTATTACGACTGAAAATATAGGATTTAAATCGAGATCATTGTTGTAAATTCAAGAATTAATCGAATCGGATATGTACTCTTTTCTGCATATCGAGAACACAAGTCGTATTAGTCTCTTACAGCTTCTACCAGCATAAAAAGGCTACTTTGTTCAACGATTCGGAAATTCGCGATTGGCGCTAATCGTTTGTACCGGCTTTTAATTATAATTAAATACGTTAGCACTGGGACTTCGAATGACGAGCTCGATAGTGAGGTTGCCTCCAATTAGCGGCATACGTCGGTAATATAAAACACTAACGTCGCAGATCGACACCGTATTCCATCGCTGATTATCAGCCGAATGGCAGGCTTCGATCGGTAATCTCCACGCTCTTAATACTCCCGGTGGCCACTTAGCAGCCTGCAGTCCGGTTACTTTCTAGCAGTCGAATCGGCGGCTACAAAACCGCTGCGACTAACGATCTCGTCGCTCGGTTTAGCGAATAAACTATCGCGAAAACGGCCGGCGGGCATAGCGGCGGCGGCCGTTAAAAACCGGCGGAGTTGATAATTCGATTTAAATATAAGCGCGCGGGCAGCCGGTTGTTTTTAATTTTTCCCGCCGGTTCTGCGGACTGCGCAGGATGATTTTTTTTACGACCGCCGTCGCAGCGGAACTGCGATTTCATTTAATTCACTCGTTTGGGATCCGGACTCTATAGCGAGTCATTAGTGCGTGAGTTAACATCGGAGTTTACAGTTTGGTGCAACGCAGCAACACGCATCGCGTTTTGCCCCGCTCCGCATTTTTATATACGCCGCGCTTGACTTCGCGTATATAACTTGCGTGAATGCATTTGATGTAACTCGACAGAGTACCAGTCATTTTCCCTCTGAGAATAAGCGCAAAATTGTATAGTGTATACGTATAAAGAATTTCGCATTATACATCAGCTATTTTGAGAGCCAGTTTGTTCATCTTCTGCTTCTTTTAGAGACTACATTTTGTTTTGTACATACTTTTGATATATAAATGCGTTTCGGCAATTTTTGTCTCTGATGGGATTGTATTTAAAAAATTTTTTTAATATATTTAATATAAATTGTAGAAATTCTGTTTTGCTACTTTCGAAGCACTTTTTTTTCCTAATATTCTGTATAGATTATTGTATATTATATTTATTTACTTACTTCAAAAGTTCATTTTATTCATCGCCGAGAAATTCGTTCGGGAATTATTAACGCAATTACATTTTGGAAACTCACACGTGAGTCTCCAATCTATTAGCAATCGATTTATCGGACATTTTCCGCAAAGGAGGAGCGAAGCAGCTACATTGTTAAGTTTAATTGTACACCTCGTATATTTCGTCCGTAAACGTGATCTCGTAAACGCGGCTTACAACCGTTCGTCGACACACGTAACGAACACACGTTGCTCTCTGCTTTTTTCGTGGCGAATTATCGGGGCACCCGGTGCACCAGGTATCCGTGGTATGGAACGTGGCCGCCGACATCGAAACGAACAAGCGCGGTCCCGTGTTCGGAGCGACGGAACAAAACTATCTCATTGTGTGTTAATACACCGCGCCGCTCTTGCTCGCCCGAACTGATGCGGCCTGCAACTGCAACACGCGGCGATGCTGCAGTCTCAAGTTGTTACTCACATCGCGATCCGCTCGATCGCGAAAACCCATTCCGGCATACGAGGATTATAGTAATGTTCCCATGTTCGCGGTTCCCACGTTCGCTGTGTGAAAAGTCGAGGAGCATCTCCTATTCCGAAGAAGAATCTTCATTTCGGATGTTCTTAAAATATACATACGAACAGCGGAATGTCGTGAAACTTATCTGAATCTCTGTATTACTATCGCTACGAATAATTTATTCTTTGATTATAGATGCGTCTCGCGTTCTTTTACCATCGTAAGACCACACATCTTGAAAATTTTCTCAGTCGCTGTAAATACGTTCTTTATCCTTGCAAACGTTGCACCATTAAGATAAGCGTGCGTGCCGAAAGAGTTTAGAACCTTCGAGCGTAAACCCTTCGTTTGCGTAAAGGGTGCGTAGAGGCGCGTAAAGTTGCGAATGCTGGAACCACCTGAGTATTCGCTCTCAGTGTTTTACGCCTTTTACACTCGCTAAGAATCTTCCCTCGTTTCCTCGATCGTTCTCGAAGGTCTCATAACTTTTCCACGCGAACTTTAAATCGTTCTCTCTCAGTTAGGAATTCTCTTTGAGTGATTTATAAAAATTTAAACATCATCTTAACCGAAGGCTTGTAAGATAGAGAAAGAGAGAGAGAGTGTTTTATCAGATGTCTTTTATGTCTTTTACATTTAATACGAACACTGTAAAAAAAAATCCTCAACAAAATAATTTTATATATTAAAATGTTTGTGTGTGTGTGTGTAGTAATTTTTAAAATCTTTCTTTCCGTTATCATTATTTTACGTTACGCTTTAAATTTTATTGAGATTGTGTATTAGTTTTATATAGTACAAAAAGTTTTAATTTTTCTACAGTTGTCAATTAAAATGCTAATAATCTTAAACCGCCTCTGATTCTGATACTTCATATCTCGTTGATACTTCGTTTTTGCTTTGCTCAACGAGCTTTACGGTCGTATTTGCATCTTCTTAAGAACCGCACGAGTCGCGTATCTCTTTAAATATTCAGAACTCGCGTAGCCCATATGGACGACGGTAGATTCGATAACGTACGTTGCTCCGACCGATTCGTAGCCACGAGTTTGCGAGGGAAACTAGCGTGGCGGCATCCCTTGTATTCGAAATTACGCGAAAATTCGAGGACCAATTTTCAGCAGCTTAGAGGATTCTCTGTCTCTCTCTCTCTCTCTCTCTCTCTCTCTCTCTCTCTCTCTCTCTCTCGCAGGTTTCGTCGGCAGTTAGTAGGTATGGGCGGGCCACATATTGGATCATATCGTATCTTCTCACACCCCATGAATAATGCATCTCAAAGGTCGCCCCCTCCTCCCTGTTCTTCTCCGCCTCGATACTCGATCTCACCTGCTCCTTCTTCTCCATTTCTCTCTTCCCTATCTCCCTTTCTTCTTTCCATTTTGCCTTCTCGCTCGCTTCCTCTCGGGCGTGAGCCCGAGTCGCGTTTCGAAATCTCTTCGTAATTAAAGCTGCCATATATTTTACTTTAATCGAGAAGATCGGCCGGCTACTATTGGCCGCAACGATTTATCACGACCGGACCTACTCTCCGTCCGCCTCTCTTCTCGCTTCTTCACCTCCGCAGAAGATTATAATGCCGAGGATGTATGTACCGGCGCAGAGTGTAATTGCGAAACGTTCTCACGACTCTCTGCGACTTCTCGCCTCCTGAATCACGGATGCATCACGATGAAACGTGTGTTACTTATTTAAAAAAATATCTTTGTGAAAGAGTAATAATTATGTGAAAAGTAATTTTCCTATATATAATTATTACACGTAATATTTAATTATCAATTTTTTTTCGATCGTTTTTTGTTTTGCTCTTATTGAACTCGACAGAATATCAATATTATTTCATAAATCGAATTATCGTTGCTGGTAGAATGAGGAATATATATAATACAAACGGAGAGATCCATTTTTTTTCTAGTACATTCAATATATATATCGAAAAACACGCATTGCATTTTAACGGATTTGCTCAGGCAATCAAGTTGGTAGTCGAAACGCTGGTTGCAGCTCGTTTTTCTTCTCTTTCGCGCGCAAATCGCTTCCAGCCCGCGAAGGCGGAGAGATCCGGTAGCCCTTGAAGCAACAACAGAAGCAGCAGTCCTGGTGTCACAGACTGCGAGATAAATCTTGGATTACCACGCGCTTCCCCTATCCTCCTCCCGGCCATGCTCCTTGAGTAGTAGC